CAATGGAAAGGAGAATTTTAATAACTTTAAAAAACTTTAACATTGTTTTGTAGCAATAATGTAATTTTAAGAACTACGGACTACATTGCCTTTTGATGTTTTCTCTATTTTTGGAATAGGGCATCTATGTACTTCAAGACAACAAATTTCGTCTGCTTACTCAAATGTCTGCAGGAAAACAATATTTAGAACATGCATCTAAGGTATTTAATGAATTAGAACTTTGGGGTTTTCTATTAAGAGTAGAACTATGGGGAAAAGTACAATGCCAATCATAATAGACTCTTGAATTAAAAATATGTTTTAAAGTTCTTTTGTGTTTAAAGAGTTTTCTATGAAATAGAAGACAGATGTTCATGTTACAATAACTTACACTAAACTGTAAGCTTAGTAGGCTTACAGTGACTAATTAAATACTACAACTAAATTCCAGTGAAATGTAGATTTATGGTAGATTCTTGAATATAGCATAGATACATCAGTAAAGATACTCAAACTTATAAAAACTGATGTTAGCTATGCAAAATTATTTACCTCGGAGTTTATAATCTCCTTTAGCAGATTAAAACATTTTAAAAACTATATAATTAACATTTGTTTCTAAGAATACATGTTTTGTGTTAAGTATATCTGTGTTTCCGGGTTTCGTGTAGTTTTTGTTTTTTAATCTTATGTAGGAATTGATAAGTAGATGTATTAAAGAAAGCTGACAAATTTTAACATAGATGTTCCTTGAAGTGATTAAAATATCTGGGCAAGTATTATATAAGCTGCCATTTCTCTGTAAAAATTTGTCCAGACCTAAATTATCTAACGGAAAGCCAGTACAGGTATAGTGGAAAATCATAGACTTGGGACCAATTAAATCTAGATTTTAAGCCAGGCTCTATAATTTATAGATTTGTGTGTGATACTCAGTAAGTTATATAACCTCTCTGGACATTAGTTTCCTCATTAATAAAAAGGGTGTAATCATGCCTGTATTATCGTAAGATTGCTTGATACTTAAATGTATTTAAAGTACTTAACATGGTGCTTGGCTCATAGGATGTACTTACCAAATGATTATTGTTACAGCTATAAGATGTTAATAAACTGAGCCAAGAAACGGATACGATATTTTCTTTTCATAATTTAATTTCACTGATTAAAGATTGCTTATTTTCTGTATTTTTGGGGCGACCAGGCTCTAATTACATTTTTATGGTCGATATGTATATTTTCTCTTTTTTCCTAACTTATTTTAATATTTCTGTTTCTCATTTAACTTTTTGGGAATCTTAGTTTTTTCAGTTGTGAAAAGACTAGGGCAGGCATGGTGGCCCACACCTATAATCCCAGCACTCTGGGAGGCCAAAGCGGGAGGATCACTTGAGGTCAGGAGTTCAAGACCAGCCTGAGCAAGAGTGAGATCCCATCTCTACTAAAAATAGAAAAATTAACCGGGTGTGGTGGCATATGCCTGTACTCCCAGCTACTTGGGAGGCTGAGGCAGGAAGATGGCTTGAGCCCAGCAGTTTGAGGTTGCTGTGAGCTAGGCTGATGCCAAGGCACTCTAGCCCGGGCAACAGAGCGAGACTCCTCAACAACAACAAAAAAACGAGTAAGTTGGGCCAGGCGCGGTGGCTCACGCCTGTAATCCTAGCACTCAGGGAGGCCGAGGCAGGCGGATCGTTTGAGCTCAGGAGTTCGAGACCAGCCTGAGCAAGAGCGAGACCCCGTCTCTACCAAAAAAAAAAATAGAAAGAAATTAATTGGACAGCTA